TAGTTACCATGGTATAGCCTGCTATTTTTGGGTCAAGATGTCTGTGTCCTCAAATCTGACATGAGCGGACAGACCAGAACAAATTAAATTCAATCTAAATATGGCACTAGGGCTACTGTGTCTTTTAAATCATTATACACCATTAGCAATGACCTCTGCTTTTTTTTTTAAATATAGTTTCAGAGCTGTCTCTACTAAAGACTAGCTTACCGTCTCTGCCTCATGTCTGCTACTCCACTTTTCTGCTATAATTTGTCCACCTTATTCCCTCATTCCATGGTCTGCCCCGTACACTGAGGCCTCTCTGCCACTGTAGCTGGAATCCTGATATCTCTTCCTCTCTTTCTCTGTAATGTCCTTCAGCGCTCTCTGTAGGGTTGGATTGGTGGCCACGAACTCCCACAGTTCCTCCTTGTCTTGAAAGTATCTTATTTCTTCATTAATTTTTAGAGAGAGTTTTGATGGATATATGAACTTTGGTTGCCTATTTTTTTCTTTCAGGACTTGGAATATTTCTCCCCACTCCCTTCTTGACTTAAGAGTTTGTGTTGATAAGTCTGCTGTTATTTTGATAGATTTCCCATTATAGGTAACCTGCATCTTTTCTCTGGCTGCTTTTAATATTCTGTTTTTTTGGTGGATTTCTGGGATCTCGATTATTATATGCCTAGGCGTAGATCTGTTTTGGTTGTAGGTAGCTGGTGTTCTGTATGCTTCTTTTATCTGGATATCATTTCTTTTTGCTATACATGGGAAATTTTGCTTTAATATCTCTGTGAATATTTTTTGTATTTCATTTTTGGATGTTCCTGCTTCCTCACTCACATTCTTTATTCTTAGGTTATGTATCTTTTTGTCATCTTCCAGTTTTAGAATTGCTTCTTTCTGGTTCCTTGTTATTTTTAAGAGGCTTTTTCTTTCACGTTCATATGTCCTAAATCTTTCTTCAAGTTTCAGAAGGCTATCTTTAGTTTCTGTCAAGGCATTTTGCCAATGTTCAATGGAGTTTTTAGTTTCCTGATATTCTCTTTGGATCTGTTTCATGTATTCTAAGTTATGCTTAAATTCTTCTTCAGATGCTTCTCTTTCTTTTCTGATTTCCTCAGTTCTTCCATCTGTGTTCTCTTGGGCGGGGCTTGTCATTTCTTTAATTAATCTCTTTATATCTTGCCTCACTTGGATCAGGAGTACAGCTTTAAATTCCTCTATGAGATCATGTAGGTACTTTTTAATTTCAGCTGATGCTGTGTCGAGTAGTGGATGGTTACTGTGCTTGTTCTCTTCGGTGTTTACTTCTCCTGGGCTTATTTTCTCCTGTTGGGCAGCTGGAGATTTTTTTTTATTTTTATCTCTTGTCATGTTTCTGGTTTCTTTCAGACTGTCCTGGAGTTCTCTGGCCCTCTCCGAATTGCTTAGGGCCTTTCAGAAGCGTGCTGGCTTGAGTTTTTGCTGTCCTCCCCAATTTGCTGTTATCTGGGGTAGGCTGGGATGCAGGGGCGGTACAGTCTAGTCTCTAGCCTCTGTGCCAGTTAGTTCCTAAATTAGGCTGTACTTTCTGGTTGTCACTGAGTTGTGACTATTTTGTATCCGCTCATTGGGCCCCAAGCAGAGGCTTGGGTTAGCCCCAGTATCTCCTGCCAGTTCTCTTTGTACCAGAAGCAGCTGACTAATGTCACTATGGCACAGGGTCCTGCCCAAATCTCAGCTGTTCTCTTCCAGACCTCTCTGTGTCAGGAGCACCAGCACAGCAGAACTGCCCAAACTCTGTATGAGGCTGAAGCCAACACGTACTCAGGCTCTGCCCAATTCCAAGATGCCTTCCACTAGCCCTCCCTACAGGGGGCTCAGTGACGCCACTGAGCTGTAGGTTCTGCCCAACTGTAAAATGGCTGCCACCAGACTCTGTGTTATTGATGTCCCCGTGGTGGCGGGCACTATCCCGTTCCAAGATGTTTTCTGGCCAACCCCGGCAGTCGCAGGGTCTCTAGTACTCACCAGGGTCCACGCCGCCCACCTTTCCCACGTTCCCAGCACAGCACTGATCGGTCAGAGATCCGCGCAGCGTGCACTCCCGGTACAGCACAGAATGGTCAGAAATCCGCGCAGCGCCTGGTATAGTGCGGAGTGGTCAGAAATCCGCGCTGCGTGCATTCCCGGTACAGGGTGGAACGGTCAGGAATCCGCGCTGCGTGCACTCCCGGCTCAGTGCGGAACCGTCGGAAACCCGCGCGGCGTGCCCTCCCGGCCCGGCGCGGAGCAGTCAGAAATCCGCGCTGCGTGCACTCCCTGTACGGGTGGAGGGGTCAGAAATCCGCGCTGCGTGCGGCCCGGCTCAGTGCGGAACCGTCGGAAACCCGCGCGGCGTGCCCTCGCGGCCCGGCGCGGAGCAGTCAGAAATCCGCGCTGCGTGCACTCCCTGTACGGGTGGAGGGGTCAGAAACCCGCGCTGCGTGCACTCCCAGCTCAGTGCGGAACCGTCGGAAACCCGCGCGGCGTGCACTCGCGGCCCGGCGCGGAGCAGTCAGAAATCCACGCTGCGTGCCCTCCCAGCACAGTGCGGAGCAGCGTTTGGCTTTGGAGCTCGAGAGTCTTTCACAATCTCCTCTGGTGTAGCTGGGCAGTCAAAAGCCAATACAGCTTTTCCTGTTGCGTCCATGGGTTAAACTGTTGATTAAAAGGCGCAGGATTTGCATCTTCCCGTTTTCAGCCTTCACAGTCTCAGCACGACTTTAAATCCTCCAGCTGCACTGTCTTGGTTAATAAGAATCGTTATCCATTTGTCTGGCCCTCTCCATGTTGTGATATTCTAGCTTTTAATATGATTTCTCCGGAGAGACTCTCCGCCCGATCCTCTAGTTAGCCGCCATTTTCTCCTCCTTCCCGCATGTATATTTAAGTGTATAAGACAGATAACCATATTACTGACTTTCATTGGATCATTGAACAGAACTGTTAGCAGTCTCACTGTTTGAAAGTCCACCTTATATGCTTTAATTTTGTAACTTGAACAACTATTTCTAAGATGACAATATGTAATCTATTAACTAGTGATTTCCTACTGTTTATTTTTTATGAAATTCTGTAGTACCTGTACACTTTTTCTGTTTTTTCTCCTTAAATAAAAATTTTAAAATGTGATTAGTAAGTTTATAGAATACATGATAAAATGATACCTCAGGTAAACAAAATGACTTTTTAAAAATGAAAAATCAGTTTAGCAAAGTATTAGAGTCCATGAAAAGATGTCAAGTAGATATCCAAGAGATTCAAAAGCCTGAGCATATGGGAGCAGAAGTGACCAGAACGAACAATTTCAGAACTAGAAGATATCCCTCATGTCAGTGACCTATTATTCAGAGTTACTTCAACATAGAGATCATGAAAAATGTGTTCCAGAAAAGCTGGATGACTAAGAAGACTAAACTTAGTTGAAATTAATGAAAAATGAAAAGACATCCCAAAAGCATTAAAACATTTTAACAAAATTAACAGCAGAAAGTGTTCCAAGTGTAGAGAAAAATTTAACTTTACAGACAAGTGAGGCATATAGAACTACAAGGAGACATCATCAGAAAAAAATATTACCATGACACATAGATTAAATCCCAGAAATCCAAAACAAAGACTGAATCATGATTTGTTAGATGAACACAACAGACCATTTATCAAGAAAAGTTTACTAGAATTTCGACAAGTTTCTCAACAAAAGCCTTAAAGGGTAGGAGAGCTTGGAGTGAATTGATTCACTCCACACACACAAAAAAACCTTCCAGCCCAGACTGATACATCTTGAAATGCTATCTTTCAAAATTGATGAAGAAATAAGATCTTTTCAAGACAAAATCCACCATGAGAAATTCATGTCCACAAATCAGCAATTGTAGTGAAAGACAATAAAACTAACATTGTCAGAGTCTTAGACACAATCCAGAGTGAGCAGTTCAGCAGAACAGAAAATAAGAGTGAATCAGCAACTACAGAATATTGTGTCACCAATAAGTTGATACTTCTCAGTAATAACACTGAATGTGAAAGGACTCAATTGTGCAATAAAAGACAGAATAGGAAACAAAACCTAATGTGAAAGTGTATAAAAGAAACACATTAAATCCTAACAGAAATTGACAGATTAAAAATTAAAGGAAATAAAATACTATCCCATGCGCTATAAACCCAAAAAGAAGAACGTATAACTATGCTCTTTTCACAAAAACTGAATTTCAAACAAAACTTATGAGAAGTAAAGGATGTTACTACATATTTTTTATTACTATTACATGGAAAGAGGGTTAGATATGGGAAGAGAGGAGGAAGAGTATAAAAGGAGAAGTAAAAAGGATGAAGAAGCAATATATATGTGAACCAATTTTACCAAAATATATGTAGTTGCTATGTATTGAAAAAATATATAATAAAATATTTTTAAGTATTGCACATGGCACTGAGAACAAAAAAATGTAAAGATCCCTGTATGTAAAGTGATCTACATGCAGTTTCAAAGACGATGGTAGTAATTAGTAAGACAATTCTATGGTGAACATAAAATTTAGATGCAGAGAAGGATTTTGTTGAGAAAATAATGCTTTCAATAATTCTATAAAATATGTCAAAAAATAAGTCATGATGACCCATACCTGTAATTCCAGCTATTTGGGAAGCTGAGAGAGAAGACCACAATTTTGAGGTGAATTTGGAAGTTTAGTTGGACCTCAATGTAAAATCTTAAAAAGTGGAGAATGGAAATCAGTGGTAAAAAATAATAATAATTAAATTCAATCACCAGTATTGTAACAAGTTCAAGAGAAAAGAAAATAAATCAAAGAAAATAGTTTAAGAGGCAGGGAGTGTGGCTTTTCAATATACAGACACACTGAATACAACAATAAGATTGGTAACTGAAAAAGAATTTTGTCTTCACTGTCCTCTTCAGGATATTTTTCCATTTCCTTGATTCATATGGGTAACACAAAAAGGTGAATTGGTCAAGAGGCAGCTCTTACCGGTGAAGTTGGCAATCTCATTCTCTGAACAAGGGCTGCAATCAAAACAACAGGCAGCTTTTCCTTCCTGGGTGACTTTTCTGAATCCAGGATCACAGCTCTCACTACATACAGATTGGGGAATCTGAGGAATGATATGTGTTAGTAACTGTTTTGAATTTTGTAATTTTTCATAAATAATATCAAAATTTGTATGAATACCAGTCAAACTAGATGATTGAATATCATTTGATAAATAGCATAAAGGATAAGAATATTTATGAAGCGTGATGAAATAAATATGTTCCCTACCTATTCATAAGAAAGTTGACAATAAAACCATTTGATTTAGAAGTGAGTTGTTAAATTTACATGCATGACCATTTTCTGAGTGAAAGAGGGAGATAGTAAGAGACTGAGGATAAAGAAAACTGATGCTCCATTCAAGTACTGTTGGGCTTGAGTTCTGTTTCCTACAGTTTAGGTATCATCTGCCTAAGTCAGCAAGAGGCTCCTGACAGTAAAGGAAGCAATCAGTTCTGAAATACACAGTGCAAATTAAATCAGTGGGGCCCTGTGGAGAGGTGAGACAGTTTCTCAGAGTGACACTGAGGGGATGGAACTTGGGGAAGGTTCGGAAAAGGCAGATCCCCAGAGAGGACAGGGAGCCAGGGCAAAGGGCAGACCACAGAGCAAGTAAGAAATACTCAGGAAAGGACATGAGAGCTAAAACTAGGGCTTCAGAGGAAACAAAGGCCTCATTAGGCTGGTGGAAGTTCCCTGCCCAGAAATAAGATGAAACAAGTTGAGAGACACCCAGCACCACCAAGCTTCTATTCATATCCCTCCGAAGGGTGCCTTGATTCCACTACTTTTACAACAGGTACAATTAGTGGTGCTTGCCGAGGTCTGCTTACTGCATAGCCCAAGTTCCAACAGGCCCACTTCTTAGTCAGTCTTCCCTGCTTGAAACCCTACAGGCTGAAATCAGCTTGGCTGAGTGGTAATCACTGTTGTGTATAAAAAGCCCTAACCAAAGATATCTCGTGGCAAGCATCTCAGGTCCCCTCCTGTGGTCAATTCCCTGGAGGCTTTCTGCTTTCAGTTTCTAATAAACACTTTCATTCAGTGTTTTTCAACTTTTTCACCTTCTAATTTTTTCTGGATCGAGAGAAGAATCCACCAGCCAAATAGGAACACCAAGGAAAGATGGGTGTCAAAAATCCCACAGTCAGGCTTTGGTTATTTATATTTAATGAAGAAAAGTATAATTAGGCTCAACTTACCTCTGTAACTTCTGTGGCCCATTCAATCAAATGATCAGATACAGACAAACGTTGACCATGCGAAGCATGTGGGGAAAATTTTCCTACTTTCACCCTAAGTCTAAGACCTTCAGGAAAATTCTGGAAGTTTAAAATGTCATATTCTGTTTCCAGTTTTCTTTTGTCATCCAAATTCACTTGGTCTCCAGTAGTACTGTTAAAGTGAATGTTCTTCAGAAAGGGGTGCAGCTAAAAGAGACATACCATCCCATGATGAAGTTGGTCTCATTATTAGGACTTGAAAACTGAAAAGGAAAATCCCTGAAATTCTTCAATGCCTATCATATAATTCAAGATTCTTATAGACATAATGATCTAAAACAAATGAAAACCTATGGAAGACTAAAACATAATGTCCCTAAAATACCAGAAATTTCAAGAGAAAATGTATTAACCAAGCTGATTGCAGCAAACAGTGTATGGGTGTTAGAAAAAAAATCTGTGTCCAAAATGTCCACATCCAATTTCTATAAGATTCTTCATAAAAGAATATAACAGAAAAATGAAATAATAAATACCATAAATAGCTGTAGAATTAAGTGAAAATTCAGGCAATATGTCCACTAGCATTCTTAGTACTAACTAGGTCATAAAGGCTATAATGCATTTGTTGTCCTTTAGGAACACTTCAGGAACATAAAGCGAACTTTAGCTCTGTCTTATTGAAAATGATAGGAAGATCATTTGCATATGGTGAAACACAAAACAATGATTGATTGATACCTTTTCATCTTTCAAATGGAGCCTTAAATTATTTGGTACTTTGATACTAGGAGATACTAAACTAATTGTTGTGAGCTCCATTTTTATGGCAATTTATGTCTTCTAATAGAAGAGAATTACCTGCCAGTGAGAAAATGCCATTCCTTCTCCATTATTCATTGATTGTATTTGTGCTATATGGAGAATCATCTCATGGAAGGCATGGGCCACAGCGTACACAGCATTGTATATATTGTAACTCACGTCACTCATTGCTGTGTCAAAGTGATTCACAGGCAGCCAAGCCAGAGAAGCATTGGGTGGACAGCTCCTCAATGAACAGCCAGAATCAGATAATGAGCAATGGAAATTCTTGAACCAATACAGAGAAAGGAAATTATTTTCTGGGTATCTGGAAGGATTAGCCCTTTGAACAAAATTTTTGAAACCAGGAATCTCCTCATGGTGATTTGAAAAAATGAGGGTCCCGTGGAATGAGTCAAGTATAAAATTTCTCCCCATCATGTCAGCATGCCATTGTGAGTTTGTCACCCAGACTCTCCATGTCACTAAATAGCCCCCTATATGAAAGTTTACATCACTTAGACTCTCACTATCATAGTAAATAATAGCTACATTTGCTGGTGATATTTCTCTGGTCTGGAAATTGTATTGAAAGTTTCCAAAAAAAGCACGAAGAGTAACTTCAATCATTTTTACAAATGCTACACAGATTCTGTTCCTGCCCATCTCTGCTCTCACATCTGAGAGAAACTGAAGACCTTTCTGACCTTCTGTGATGACCAGTCCCACCCAGGTCCAGGTGAAATGAAGCATCAAGGAGACCATGCCAAGGGCCAGAGTTGTGTCCTTGGAGGCCACCTGGTACAGAGAAGGAAACTGGCCACTGTCTTTCAGATTGGGATTGAAAGAGCCAAAAGTAAGCTAAAAGAGAACAAAATTAGAAACAATGTGAGGAAGTAAGATGACTTATAGCACAATTGCAGATTGAGAAGTGCTAAGCAATAACTGCAAGGCACAGATTTGTTCATCATAGCCTTTAATTATCTCAGAAACAAACCATTCAGAATCAGACCTAGAAAACATCCTTTCCTGTTTTCCCTACACAATCTTCTGTGTTGCAAAGCATTTAAGCAACTGGGAACTGGATCTAGAGTTGAAGCATGGCTTGATAGAATGAGTAAGGAATGGAAGAAGAAATTTGAGATGTGCTGTGTGCATGTACCAACACACCATACAGATGTAATCATTGCATACTGCTAACATGTACTACTAAGTAGGAACAGAAGGGGTGGGAAACCCACCAAGACTCTGTGTACTTATCTTTGAGCCCTCACCTTGAAAAAAATAATAAGCACAGTGTCCTCAATCATTAGTCAGATAACAATGGCACTAAAAGCATCAAGGACTTATACCTTCCCATCCCTCCCAGGCTCACCTGTGGAAACTTGTAGAGCTCCAGCAGAGGTCCAATTTGGGCAGCTGTTGCCCATGGTGTTCCCAGAAGCAGAACAATGGCCTTGCTTCCTCTCCCACAGGTATAATTAGGAATCTCACTCTGTCCTGTGAGCAAAGTGAGGGGGCTCTCCATTATCCACCAATGACCATGAAGAAAATTATAGAACTCATATCCCAAGGATACATTGGGTAGAAGGTGAAGATTTCTGTTAATCTCTTCAATGGCAAAAATGAAGGCCAGCACATTAAGGTAGTTAGTGTTCATTGGACTGTGTGGAGAACACAGAAGATTTTAGAGGAAAGATGAAATTCATAAATATATTCTAATCTTGGAAAACACCACTTATGAACAAAATGCTAATTTTCTCTCCTGAAAGTGATAGTATTATAAGGTTAAATTGGGGTAAAATTAAGATTACAGTACCTGTGTATATTTGTCATAAGTAAGATTAGCATTATTACAAAATTTAATATAAGAATTTCCCCATTCTTCTGCCATGTGAAGACAAAATTGCCACCCATAAACTCAGAAATACATGCACTCTCCATCTTTTCATATTTCACAATGTTAAAATTAAATTACCCTTGTTTAATTCAATAGTTTTGTTGTATGTTTTTACATAGAAACATGAGTTAAGAGATTATTCTAATTAATGATGAACATACAGGATTTTTATTGTCTTTGGAGGAGCTGGTTCATGGAAAGTCTTACAATTCATAAATATATCAAAAGCATATAATATGTGCTTTGACATTTTCTCTCTAATGTCCACATACATTGAAGAAGACGTTTTAAATCACAAAGAAAAATGTGAATAATAGATAAATACATTACACTCAGAGTGAGCTTTATAAATTTTATCTCAAGAATATATGAAATGGAGTGTCTATGCACCGTCCCGAGCCCTGGGTGTCTACAATCTTCACTCCCATAGGCCACAGAATTTCCCAGATTCCTGCCACACTTGACTGGCTCTGAAGGTCTTGGGCCTGCCTGTGCCACCTGTGGTGACCCTCTCTCATACCAGGGAAATTGGCAGCAGAAGGTGAGTGCCCGCACACCATCCAGAGGCCCGGGAGTCTAAGGTCATCACTCCCACAGGCCAAGGAACTTCCCAGATTCTTGCCACACTTGACTGGCTCCGAAGGTCTTGGGCCTTCCTGTGCCACCCCCAATAACCCTCTTTCAGTACAGGGAACTGAGCTGCTGGAGGCTCCACAGGTTTCAGGCCTGCCTAGGCCATGCAGTGAACTTCTCTCAGTCTGGGGAACTGGGAAGCTATAATCCCAGGAGCTGAAGTCATAGAATATGATTTCCAACAGGCTCAAGGGAAGCCTTGGAACAACACTTGAAACAGGGAAATATAGGAAAATGACAAAATGAAAGACCAAAATGCAATCTCAGACCTCCAACCCATCCTAAGAAACCTTAGGAGCAATGTACATAGAAGAAAATATATGCCATACACCTAAAATACCTGAAAAAAGAAGCAACTCTGGGAAACTTTAATGGAATTCAAACTAGAAATAATCTCCCAGATAAAAGAAGACATGATAAAAGTAATTAAAGAGATGCTAAACACATCTAAAGAAGATGTAGTTAAAATGTTAGAACAAAACAAAAAGAAAGACTCCCTGGATCAACAATTTAAGAAACAAACAGAACACATGAAGCAGATTGAAAGAGATATACAGGAAATGAAAAGTCCAATTGAAAATTGTCAAAACTGCCTCAATGAAAGTGAAAGATAGAATTTCAGAACTCAAAGACTAGATTGCAGTTAGCGAACAGGAAAGAAAAGATCTTTTAAAAATAACAAGGAATCAGAAAATAATAATTCAACAGCTGCAAGATAATGCAAAGAAAAACAATATGAGATTGATAGAGGTAAACGAAAAAGAAGGGACAACACAAAGGACATCAAGAGAAGATTTAGAGAAGTAATTGCTGAAAATTCCACAAACATGAGACTGGAAACCGACATCAGGATCAGTGAAGCATGTAGAACTCCAAATAGCCACAAGCAAAATAAAACTATACCAAGACATATAATAATAATCATCCCAGAAATCCAACATAAGAATAGAATATTAAAAGCTGTTAGAGAGGAAAAACAGATCACCTATAAAGGAAAACCTATCAGAATCACAACAGACTTCTTAGCACAAACAACAACATTAAGAAGATGACAGAGTGAAGCATTTCAGATCTTAAAAGAAAATGATTTCCAACCTAGACTGATGTACCCTGAAAAACTGTCCTTCAAAATCAATGTAGAAATAAGATATTTCCATGACAAAAACAGCTGAAGAACTTCATGATCATCAAGCCAACCCTGCAAAGAATACTGAAAGACAGTTTAGATACAGTTAGGAAAAAACCACTAAGCAAAGCAGACAATTAAACAGAATGGAAAGGTAAAGATGCAACAGTAGAAATATAACATATCAACAGTAAACCAGTATATAACAGTTAAAACCATTATAATGTAAATGGTCTCAATTCACCAATTAAAAGAAACAGATTGGCAGAACGGATCAAAAAACAACATTGAACCACATGCTGGCTACAAGAAACCCATCTAACCCAAAAGGAAACTCACAGACTGAAAGTCAAAGGATAGAAAACAATACTTCATGCAAGAGGAACCCAAAGTGTGGGAGTAGCGATTCTGTTTGCAGACAATGTGAGCTTCAAACCAAGAATGATCAGAAGAGATAAAGAAGGTCATTACATACTGGTTAGGGGAAAACTTCAAGAGGAAGAGATAACATTCTTAACTATATATGCGCCAAATTCTGGAGCACCCAGTTATACAAAGCAAGTATTAATAGAAATGAAAAACCAAATTAGTGATAACACAGCCATCACAGGAGACCTTAACATGCCACTGACACCAAGGGACAGATCAACCAGACAGAAAATCAGCAAAGAAATAACAGAACTGAATCACACCTGTGAACAAATGGACTTGATAGACATAGACAGAGTATTTCATCCAACAAAATCAGAATACACATTCTTCTCAGCAGTATATGAGGCATTCCATAAAACAGACCATATACTACCTCATAGAACATATTTAAGTAACTGCAAAAGAGTTGAAGTTATCCCATGCATGTTATCTGATCATAGTGCCATGAAATTTGAAATTAATGATAAAAAAACTACAGAAATCCCACAAACACATGGAAATTGAATAATACACTCTTGAACAATCAGTGAGTTGCAGGGGGAATTAAAGAAGAAATTAAGCAATACCTACAAGCAAACAAACATACAAATATAACTTACCAGAATCTGTGGGATGCAATGAAAGTGGTCCTCAGAGGAAAATTTATTGCACTGAGATCCCACATCAGGAAAACAGAATAAATACAAACACACAATATGATGGTACACCTCAAACATCTAGAAAAAGAAGAGCAAGTCAAGCCCAAAGCCAAAAGAAGGGAGGAAATTATATAAAAATCAGAGGAGAAATTAATACAATAGAGACTAAGGAAACAATCCAAAGAGTCAATGAATCAAAAAGTTGGTTCTTTGAAAGAACAAATAAAATTGATGAGCCCCTAACCTTATTTTAAAAAGGGAAAAATAAGCTAACCTTATTTTAAAAAGGGAAGAAAAAGATCAAATTCATGTGATAAGGAAATAAAAAGGCAAAATCACTACAGACTCTGTAGCAATACAGAAGATCATCAACAACTATTTCAAACCTCTCCTCTCATAGGTTTGATGACACAGAAGAAATGGACAGATTCTTAGAAACATATGAATTATCAAAGATGGATCAAGAAGATGTAAAATTGCTGAATAACCCAATTTCTGTTAATGAAATTGAAAATGTAATTAAGTCCTTACCTACAAAAGAGCACAAGCCCAGATGGATACACTGCACAATTTTACAAGAAATACAAACAAGACCTAATTGTGGCACTCCTCAAACTCTTCAATGAAATCAAAAGGGAAGCAATCCTTCCTAAGTCATTCCTGGACGCAAATATAACCGTAGTACCAAAACCTGACAAGGACCCAACTAGAAAAGAGAACTAGATGGCAATCTCCCTAATGAGCACAAATGCAAAAATCTTCAATAAAATATTGGCAAATAGGATGAAGCAAATCATCAAGAAGATTATACACCACTGTGAAGTGGGATTCATCCCAGGCATCCAAGGATGGTTCAACATACATAAAACAATAAACGTAATCCATCATATCAACGAAGCCAAAAGTAACAATCACATGATAATTTCTATAGATGCAGAAAAAGCTTCTGTAAGAACCTTACAGAAGGGCCTTGAGATTTAGCTCAGCGGCATAAGCACCTGCCTTGCAAGCAGGCAGTCGTGAGTTCGATTCCCGGTACCAATAAAAAGGAAAAAGACAAAAAAAAAAAAAAACACCAAAAGAACCTTACAGAAAATTAGAATAGATGGTCTTTTCCTCAATATAATAAAGGCCATCTATGACAAACCAACAGCCAGCATCATATTAAATGGCCAAAATGGCCAAAAACTGAAGGTCTTTACGTTAAAATCAGGCACAACACAAAGATGTTCTTATCACTACTCTTATTCAATATGGTACTGGAAATACTAGCTACAGCAATTAGACAAGAGAGAGAATTATAAGAGGGAAAGATAGGAAAAGAAGAAGTTAAGTTATTATTATTAGCAGATGACATATTACTCTACATAGAAGACCCCAAAACTCTATTGAAAGGCTCCTAGATATAATAAATAAATTCAGCAATGTAGCTGGATACAAAATCAATGTTCAAAAATCAATAGGTGCAGAGGAGGGGCTGGGCGGATCTGGGGCGCCTGCATCCACCTCCCTGTGGGTCTGGAGGACTGTGGACATCTCAGCAAGCAGGGGAACATGGCAGGTTTCAGAGGCCCCGCGGGCTGTGGTAAGTGCTCAGGTAAAAGAAGAAATAATAAAAGAAATGAAGGAGATTCTCAATATATCTAAAGAAAACACAGTTAAAAAACTGGAGGAACTAAACAAAAAGATAGAATCCCTAGATGAGCAATATAAGAAACAAACAGAATACATAATGCAGATGCACAGAGATATACAGGAAATAAAAAACTCCACTGAAATTTGTAAAAACCACCTCAATGAAAGAGAAGATAGAATTTCAGACCTTGAAGACAGGATTGCAGCTAGTGAATAGGAAAGGAAAGATCTTTTAAAAATAACAAGGAATCAGGAAACAACAATTCAACAACTGCAAGACAATGCAAAGAAGAATAACAT